GTAGTTTCTGTGTTTGAAAGTGTGTAATTTAGTCTATTCAATCTATCATAATCCAGTTACCTGATATAATTTGTTGTGTGTATTATGAATATTTTAGCTTAGCTTTTTTTAATTCCCATTTAAAAAAAAAAGAAAATGTTTTAGACCAGGGAGTTAGCTTAGTGGCTTACTGGCAAGCACAAGGTCCTGAGTTCAAACACTGGTATCCAAAAAAAGAAATTATTTGTAATACAGTGAAGGAGTACTTTTGAAATGTTATTTCAGTGTCTGCTTAATATTTCTGTATCTGTTGGAGAGTCCAGTAATTCATATATTTATTCGAGCCTTCTTTTGATAGGTTGAATCAGGCATCATTTCAGTCTTCAAATGTGTGTGATATAGACTGGAAACATCATGTCCTCATAGGAGATTACTCCTCTTCTGCCCAATTCTATGTCACCTTTGCAGTCTTTGTGTTCCTGTACTGCATTGCCGCCCTCCTGCTCTATGTCGGCTACACGAACCTGTACCGGGACAGTCGTAAGCTTCCCATGATTGTGAGTGGGCACTTCATTTCGTTTTACATGAAAGCAATTTACATAAGTATATGTAAGTTATGTTTGAGGTTTAGTATAGATATTTTTACTGGAAATCTAAATTTGATAAAAGTACAGTTCAACATGTGTTAGTGTTGTGAAATTGAGCTTTTTTCTTTATTACATTTAACTCAATTCTTTAAGCTTATGATTATTCCAGTGAAAAATTTTTTAACCTAGAAAAACTCACAAGTGGCAAAACTTACTAAATCACAAACAGAAAAATTAGGTAGAAATTATTGCCTTTGATTTGAAGAACTATAGAGCATACCAGCAGTGTGCCTGCTCCCGACCTTTTTTATCTGTCCTCCAAGGCCTCATTCTGCTTTATGGTGTCTCACTGTGCTTAATTGCCTATACCAGGATCAGCAGATGAGGGCTCACAGGTCAAATCTGACTCACTTCTTTTTTTAAAAAAGTGTTTTGGGAGCACAGTCATACTCATCCTTTTTACATTGTCCATGGCAACTTTCTTGCTAAAACTACTGTAAGTATGACCCAGATAGCTCTTAGATTTAGCATTAGTGCCATCTGTGAGCAATTTTGAATCTTTTGGGATGCAAGCGGAGGGCTTGGATTTGAAATCCTGATACCTTTCCTGGCCTTAGAACTCACTGAACTAGAAATAAAATAATATGTAAGATTCAGGGAATAGACTTTGTCCTAGATTATCAGTGGCAAATCCAGGGATAGGCCATGGTTGTAAACTGGATCCTTACAATAAAAGAATAGCTTCAAAGTCAGTATTAACTTGAAGGGTATTTTTGTGATACTAATTATACCAATGTCTGCACCTTAAAGGGAAAGCTATCTAAATATGAAGAGATTATTAAAGTTTTGTTTACTTATTTTTGCTGCCTGGACCATAAGAATGCGAAGGGTAAGTAAGCAACAAAATAGTCCTTTATGGAGCAGATTTGTTCTGTATCTTATGTCTTGAAAGACATAAGAAAATCACTCATTTCCCTAAAGATTAACATGTTATTTTTAACTTGCAATGCTTGTTCAACAGGAATTATGCTTTTTGAAATTACGTTTCTTGCCTTGTCAGTAATTTTTTATTTTATTTTTTTTTTTTTTTTTTTACCGAACCGGGGATTGAACTAGGCCCGCTTGCCAGGGAAGCGTTTATTCTACTGCGCAATCTCCCCAGCCCATGTCAGTAATTGAAAAAAAATTTTAAATGAAACTTCATCTAATAAATTTCCAAAATATTACGTGTGTGTGTGTGTGTGTGTGTGTGTGTGTAAAATAGTAAAAGTGTGGGCCTTTTTAATGCATCAGTTTTAGAGTTTTCCATTCTATTAAAGCTGTAAAACTGAATGGTCAGCAGTTATATAAGATTCTAGAGCTGGTTCCATAAATGATCTTGTTATATATAACATGTAATGGATGCTTCTTGTTTAATTTTTGAATTTTGTTTTTAATTTAACCATATTAAAAGTAAGGGACTTTTTTAAAAAAGATTTTTGTTTGTTTGGTTTTTGGTTTTGGGGGGTAACCAGGGACTGAACTCAGGCCCTTCCACTTGCCAGGGAAGCTCTTATTCTGCTGAGCCATCTCGCTGGCCCCAAGATTTTAAATAATAGCTCAATATAACATAAATTTGTAGGTACTCTTTATTAACAAAGAATTTACTTTGCCAGCAGTATTCTCAATTCTGTGCTAAGGGGTTCCAGGAGTTTTTTGACTGTGAAATTTTAAATCTACTTCAGGCCTTTTTTTAAATAAATATAGTACTTGGTGTGTATGTTAAAGAACAAATGCCTGAGCGTTCTAAGCAATGTGTAATCAGGAATACCTGAAAATGAAAGCAACAAAATAGGAAAACATCTCCAATTCCTAAAATCTGTTAGGAATCATATCCTAACTTACTGGTAGGAGCAGGGCTGCCCTTGGCTGCTGCATTTTGGTGTTACAGAATTCCAGGTGATGCTAGTCACTTAAGAGTGCAGTGTGGCTGTAGTCCCGAAGGGGACAGATACAGTCTACAGGGACCAGAATAATACCTCACTTTCCTCTGCCCTCTCTTTATTTTGTACATTTTCAGAAAAGTTCCTGCTCTTGAAATGGAAGGAGGTCATTCCTTAAGCTGTTAACAAAGTAGACTTTAAGAACGTAGTAGGAAAGGGAGAGATTAACAGTGTAATTTTTAGTAAGGCGTTTAGAAGGAATACATGAAAATTATGGGAATTTGACATAATATTGGTCAGAGGTATGATTTAGGGTAGAGAAACTTACTTAATGTATGACCACCTTATATTAATCAGCTCTTCCAAAGACATTGTGTTTCTATGACAAAAGTAGAAAATGTCTGTCTACAGCAGAGTACAGAATAGCCGTGCTCCCACCGTGCATAAAATGTCTGCTAAAGGTATTTCTATCATTTTCTCTTTGATAAGAAGAGCTCAACATGTTTGTACAAGTGGCATTTGGAGGCAGGGGAGATGGCTCAGTAGAATAAGCGCGTCCCTGGCAAGCACAAGGACCTGAGTTCAATCCCAGGTTCCACCAAAAAAAAAAAAAAAGTAGCATTTGGTTTTGATCTAATCTCTCAAGGTGCTCAGTGCAGCCTTGACCAAGTGGGCAAGCTATACAGCATATCTTCTATATCTCATAAGAGATTATGGATACTTACCTAAATAGCTTACTAAATGTGACTGGAAAAATAATTAAAATCTAATCTAGTATAAAAAACAAAATACTTCAATGAAAATCCCTAAAATTGTCTGGATTTAGATTTTTGCTGCAAGTGTGAGCCTCAAGTGTACCCATCTGCTTAGAGTAGTATGAAACCTATGCATTTTATATTATTCCCACTTTGGTCCTTGAATATCTGGGCTACCAAACAAAGCATTATACTTTATATCAGATGAGTGGATAGTTAAAGTGTTTAGATCATTGTCATCAGTATTACTGAACAGAATTTAGTTGCTCCAGCAGAGATGATTAAGGAGAATAGTTTTCCATTTTCTCATCATGTTGGTTTAATAAAAAACTATCCCAGATATTAAAGCTTTTCATTTTATTCTAGGAAATGTAATAAATAGCAAAGGATTTAGTAGAACATTGCTACTAATAAGGTGTCTTGGAATAGGACATAGAGAATGTACGTCAAGGATTAACAACCCTAACACATAAATTGAGGGACATGAGGACATGAATGAAGTTGACAGCGAAAAAGGGCTGGGTCAGATTGTAGGTCTCAGAGGGTCAGGACTTTGGAGATTGGGATGCCAGAGAGCGAGTGAGTGAGAGGTGCTGGTAGTGCACGTGAGCCGCTCTCACCTATGGAAATACAGTTACTGATGCAGTGAGTTAGGAAGCAGGTGACTTAGGGAAGCTTATGGTGAGAGCTGTGGAATGCTTTGGCTTCTGTAAAAAGTGACGCTAGAAGAAATGTGTCTTACTAGCTCTTGCATCTCAGATATTATGCTGACTATGATCTTTTTAATAAAGTATGAAGGCAATTTTTTTTAGCGTCGTAAACTTAAATGTAATCTTAATTTCATCTTGGAGGACTTAAACTTTATTTTTAAATTGATTATTACTACTATTTTTGTTTTAGGACTTCATTGTTACTATTGTTGCCACTTTTTTGTGGTTGGTGAGTACTTCGGCCTGGGCTAAAGCTCTTACAGATATTAAAGTAGCTACGGGTCCCAGGATTGTTCAAGAACTTGCGCCGTGTAAACAGCCAGAAGAGTGTTATTTTGGATGTGACAAGTATGGGCTCCCTAAATGTATCTGTGGTATGTACACTTTATTTGTATAGTTTTTAATTTTCAGTTATTAGAAAAGCAGTAACTTCTAATAAGTCTCTGGATGAATATATTGGTTTTTATTTATATTGAACTATCAGGATCCTAGTTAGGATACAGTGTTTACCATTATAACTGAAGAAAACCTGTTAAGAAATTATCTGTGAACAACTTTGATCAAGATCTGCTTAAGTCTTATGTTTCACTAAAATTGAAAGAGCAGGACTTTCACTTGAAAGACACTAATCATAAAAATTTTAGTCATGATTTTTATGTGTTACAGATCTAGAGGTTTAGCTTTATTTAGTGGGGAATAAGTTATATGTCCGAATTTTATACTTTCAAGGATAATCTGTTTTACTCTACTTTGTATATAGTAGTAAACAGTAAGTGAAATAAAATTATGTACTGCCTAAAGTTGTTCAAAAGAAAACTAAACTCTTAAGCATTAGATTTTGACGTTTATTTTTCTCTTCCCTAGATCTTTGGCTTCCTGAATATGATACTGTGGGGAGGAAATGCTTGGTTTGTGTACAAGGAAACCAGCTTACACAGTCCCTCAAATACTGCTGCTC